CCCCCCCCCCCCCCCCGCTGGGGTCAGGTTAAGCTGTATGAAACTTACGTTTCGCCCAGAGAAAAAAATAAGTAGAACTCTGAGAGTTTAACCATACTTCCTACCTATATTTTGCCCTGATTTAAGCCTGAGAACTAGTAGACACCTTTGAAAATCAAACAGGAACGAAAAATTTCAGTGAAACAATACTCGACCGCCGACTAGAAGTTGAGGCTTTGATAGCGGAGCTCCAACCGCGAGCGTAGAACTACAGCTAAGAAAATTTGGTAATCTGTCCATCCGAGAAAATTTGGTTATGACGTCAGCGTACGACCGAACGCTGACCGTACCGACTCTAGGGGAGGGGGGAGGGAGTCAGGAGTCAGCCCTTCGGGGAAGGAGTAGGTTATAGCGTAGCCCCATGGCTAAGAAAATTTAGTTCTATCCATTCGAGAAATGTTGGTAGTAAGGTAGTGTGGAATGATATTGCACATTCATGTTGTAACTGACAGCTGTCAAAACAGGGTATCCGCTGACCAGTATCACATGACCTTATGGCGGACTCACGGTTTTGCCCCAGGTTACGTGCTTTTCTTTTTTCACGCGCACAGCTCACGAAATAAGTTGTGTTCTAATATGGAACAGCGGCCGGACTTCGGACGCGAAAAGTGAGCCTTTTTTGCAGGTACGGAAGGCAGTTACTATTGAGTTAAATTACCTAAAATACCTATCTAGCCGATGTTTTTAAAACCAGCCTAACGAAATTTGCAGTCATTTGAGTGAAAAGGCGTCAGAAGTAACTGGTCTTTTTGGGCCCGATAAGCTCCAAAATCGCACTAACGAAAGGAGAAAAGGAGAGGAAAGGAGGAAAAGAAAGAGCGAGGAAGAGGAAAGGAGGAGAAGAGAAAAAAAAGTGATGGTTGCACTCAGTTAGTTTTATAATGGCTACTTGGAGTTTACGGCAAAAAAAAAACTGTTAGACGGAAAAAGGTCCATTTGGCGGTAAAGGTTTTTTTTTTTAATCCGGCTAGATATCTAAAAATACATATCTGTAAATTACCCCTATCTATTTTGACTTGTTATAGTGTAAATGACAACTAGCCGAATTTATGAGAACATACCTCAAAAAACGAGCCAGAATTTCCGCGCAGGAACCTGGCGATAGCTAGATATATTGAATGAATAATCTGGAACACGTTGATCCACCAGCTGGTATAAGACTCCAAATAAAAAATATTGTCTTGTCTTGTACTGTCATCAATTATGGGCCTGTTTACATGGAGGTGGCGACCCCAGATAGGTGAGGTAACATGGGTCACCCCACCTATCATGCAAATGTCATCAAATTAAAATGAGAGCCTATATGGACATGCGGGTTACCTCACCTACCTCGGGTCCCCCACCTCCAAAACAGACCCTAAAGCAGAAAGTCAGTCGCTCGAACCAATAAGTCGTTGTCAAAGTTTGTGAAGGTGAAATTACAGTTTTTATGAGCTTTGTAACTTGACAGCATCAATGATTACAGAATTACAAATTTCGTGCAAACTTGTCGTTCACTAGTTTTCATTATACTCTGGTCTGTTCCTTCCAAATCGCTCGTGTGCACTTGCAAATTGACCACTGGCTATTGCTGATAGAGTGGAGAGTTCCATGGCCAGCGCGAATGAAGCAATTATTTCCGCAAATCGATAGACACGACCCTTTCAAAAGAGAAAGTATGGAATGGTTTTAATTGACCCTGTTGTTTTCCTTTGACATCAAATACTGATCGTGTGTTCTGCTAAAGCTGATGTTTGACAACTGGTAATCGTTAGAGCCCGAAACGTCAGCTTTACCAACTCACACAATAATGATGATGATGATGATGATGATGATGATAATAATAATAATAATAATAATAATAATAATAATAATAATAATAATAATAACCAAAATGCAGACTTTGTGGCCGTTTCGACGAGACCATTGACCATCTGGTCTCTGGCTGCCCCGAACTGGCTTAAGTGTCATTGTCTGCGAAAGTGTTCCAGGGGCCAAAAGTTGTGGTCAACCGATTTAGCTGAAACTTGGCACAGAAGCTGGGTGTGATGAAATATTTCAAAAGCCACTTTCGCTCACTTCCCTGACTTTTAGTTTTGGCGTTAAAGGGGGGGTCTCATTTTTGGCCTTTTGAGCACCAAAAATCCAGCCTCACAGGGGGAATTTTGAAAGTGCCATAAGACCCCACCGGTAAATTGTGCTGCCAAATGAATTTGTATCATGGGAATGATCTAGTTTATAGTCTTATAGTCTTGATTAAAGGATTCCTACCTTTCCGAAACAGCCAATCATGTCTAGACATTCTTTTGCGGTTGGTGTCCCTGTTCCACCTCCAACGGTTCCAATTAGAAGAGTAGGAATAACAAGGCTGGCATATATTCCAGGTTCGTATTTCTCACTTGACTCGGCTTCTTACAGGAAAGAAGATAAGACGTTTTGTGTCATTTTTTTTTTTTTCTATTTCTATTTTTTATTTATATATTCACCAGTATAAATATTGATTATGAATCATGAGGAGTGATAATGGCTGGAGAAAAAAAAAGAGGTTTTACAATTCATAATGGTAATCAAGAGAGGATAAAGCTGAGAGAATGAATCCCCCATATAGGCCGGCCCTCTACTCATTGTAATCCCTCTAAAGTTATTTTGGAACGCGTCGGTTTTCCCGCGGATAATATTTCCTCGAGCTTTGCGTGGAATTTTCGTGAAGGAGTGGTAGTGCAAAAGCACGTAGGGAGTGCGAGAGTTGCGATGAATGCGAAACAAGAGAGGATGAAGAGGGTTTATCCTCTCTTAATGCGAAATGATAACCGTTTTTTGAGAGTTTTTTCTTTATTGCGCACGTATCAATCGGCATTAGCATCGAGAAACAGAAAACCGTCAGAAGATTCACAATGAAAAGAAATTAAGTTTCAAATAATGTGTTGACAGGCTGAACACGACTCATGAGCGCATGAGTGTGAAACGCATGCTTCAAAACAACAATGGTTTTCCCTTTTTTTCTTTTTAGCTCGTAGGTTATGCGGTGCCAGGAGTATTTTTTACTGAGCAAATCTCAAGTCTCCGTGGAGTCATACATTGACACTGAGAGGTCATGGGGCATTTAGTAATTTTTTTTGTGGTTTCCGGTGTGGTTTACATAGCGGATTAATTTGATATCACAAGCAGTTGTTTTAAGCACCAATTTTTTTTTGACCTCTTTAAAGTTAGCTTTTTCTTGCATCTAAATAACCTGTTAGTAGTGATTGAATCCATTGCAAGAACTTCCGATTGTATACGATTTTTCCTAGCCTCACAGCTCAGTTAGCAATTAAAAAAACGATAAAACATCTGTGAAATTAGAATATTATTGATATTTCATGCTTTTACCAGCGACTTTTATCTCCTTTTCCATTGCAATCTCAAGCACAGCCCAGGAACTCTCATGAACACACGCCAAATCCTGTCCTGTTGCAGCGGATATACCCGCAATTGTATTACTGACGCATATATTAAGACAGTAGGAGCCAGATCTCTGCGCGCCCATCTGGAAAGCGTGAAAACATCTGTACAAGGTAGAGGAATCTACCTATATGTAAAAAGAAAAAAAAGTGTCTTCAGTTCTGCATTAGATTTTGCGTTAAATACCCTTAACACTTTATCCTTGCATCATACAAAGGTAGTTCAAAAAATGGCAAATTGAAAAGAAAGCAGATTATATAAAACATTTACATTCATTTAGAGATCTGATCACAAAAGCAACAGCTTGATCGTAATTCTTCGTCCTGATTATGGCGGTTACATTAAGGCAATTTGAAAGCCCTCATGATCATAACTGAATCTGCAGGAAGACTGTGGCATCAGAGCACATCATCTTTGAATTGAAACTCCACATTGTGATGAGAAACGGTTAATTCTGAACAGCTGCAAGGCTACTGTTGCAGTGAACCGTATATTATAGGAAACTAACGCTCCAATAAATTTTAACGCGTATTGCATGTAAACTAGAACTGGGAACGGTTTTACGACAAACTTAGAATTGGGCAAACTCAGACATATGACATCATGCTAAGATGGGAAGACGAAGACAAAATAGTCGAATTGCTGACTAAGAATTACAATGTATGTCACAAAATGGCAAAAAAAGGTCCCAAAGGATTTCGAGTGCTAGTTTTAGTAATGATTCAGACAAAAGGGAAAGAACCAAACGCAGTGAACGCGTCGGAAAGCGAAAAGATGCTAACTTTACTATTGTAAATGTAAAATTGTAAACTTTACTTGGCTATTGTTTTCCACTCTTGTGATTGGTCGAAATCTTTTAACACAAGCAAACACCCTTTGAAAATGGAGGTTAAATACATTTTATTTCGTAAATTGACTTTTTGTAGGTTAATGCTTTCTCTGTGTGAAAATGAAAACAAAAAGAAATTGCTTCTTTTCTTACCCGGATCATTACTTACTTAAAGAAAACATTATGAATTACGACAGACAAAACAACAACAACAACAACCGTTCGTTTCCCAGAACTACCGAGGAACAAGCAGGATTTGCGAAAAAATCTAACTTACAATGAGGCAAGGATTTTACGCCAGCAAAATATTTTGTATTAATAATGACATTAACCAATGCAAACTGTTATAAATACAAAGAGTTAAATAACGCCAGGTACCTTCAACACATTTTGCAGGACAGATTCTGTAATATAAGCTTCGGCCTGAACTTCAGTTCCACGTCCTTTAATGTAATTCTTTGCCAGTGCACCTTTATCGCCACTGCACTTAGTCTCAATGTAGAATTCCCGGATGTTGATATGTGGTTGTTCCTGGGTGATCTGTTCCAAGGCCCACTGACATGCGTGCCAGGTGGTTACAGTAACACCGTTTTGACCGGCGGCATCAGCAGAATCGTAAACGAATTCCATCAGCAGATTCCGACCTAAAATAAGCAAAAGGGGAAAAAAAAAGGGGGGGGGTGTCACAGATAAATTAAGGAGTCAAAAATTCTTAATTTCTTTTTTGTGATATCGTCAAGGTTAATAAACAACACTACTAACGAACACTTTGAAAGCTTTTGTCAAACTTTCTTGATGTATAGTGTCATATCTAAAAAAAGGGTAAAAAACGAAAGGACGGACCAACAAACCAAGGTTCCAGCCCTATAAGCTTGCAGTGTTGGCTGACTTCACTGGCTTTTGACTTGAGTTCTTCGAAGTGTGAAATTAACCAAGACGACAACTCTTGTGCCTGTTGCATGGAGTCCGTAACAAAATGCGGCGTTCTCATGATTCGTCGCTGAATAACACGTGCACTGACTCCTCCGGATCTAGAACAACAGAGTTATTATACGCCCGTTTTACAGAACTATTCTAGTTCCAAAGTTCTAAGAACATGCTCATACTATGCCCAATTCTTTAAAAAATCAACTGTTACATAAACATGCAACAAATTATCGATACTGCAGATCACCGCACTTAGCAGCGCAAAAAGCGTGTCATATCGATATTAAAAAAGGACTACGTCACTACATCGGTGGTTTGCTTCAAGTTGTCGCGTGCTCTCTTTAAGGGGCCAGCCCAGCAGACAATTCAAAACGAGGAATTGATTTTTAAAAAAATAGGTTATTTATAATAGACCTGATTTAACATTCACTTTCTAATGTTTAAACAAAACCTCGGCCGAGGGGACATGACCAGGATCGCTTTGTACATGCATGTGACCTTTTACCTGAACTACGGCCTTTCATTTTTGTTTTCCTTTTTTTTTTTACCGTTAAAAATTTTGGATGTGAGTTTCCTGTTGTCTTCAAAGCTGTTATTAAGAAGAAGTTTGTTCGTTTGTTTATTTGTCTGCTTGTTTTTTGTTTGTCCCAATGTGTCTTTTGCTATGTTTTCAAATTTAAATAAAGTTGAAGTTGAAGTTGAAGTTTGTTTGTTTGTTTTTATCGCGTTACATATAGCTATGTCCTTACCTAATTTCAAAATTTCAGCTCATATAAAGGCTAGGCACTCCTTAATCCTTTGTTGTTTTACCCGTTTCTAGAGATTTTATAACATACGGTTAAAATTACCTGGTCATTGCTGTAGCTCCTCTGGTGGAAGATGCAACAAGTGTACCTTCTGTTGTTGCAAAAGGGCATAGAATATGTTCATTTACATGATCACCCTTAATGAGAAGAGGGCCAATAACACCCAAAGGAATTTTAGCTAATCCAATGAGATTTTCTATATTGCCTCCCAGACTTTCTGTAGGATGAAACCCAAGGCTGCTCTGTGGATCCAGCCACTGACCAACATTTGATAAAGACTTTGTGGTGACTTTTTCAACCCATTTTCTTCGGTTATCACAGTCTTCCAGTTTGTAACTATCCCTGTGCGGTATCTTTCGAAACAAAAACAAAAACATGGCGTTTAAATCTTAACATAAAAGCAACTGTCACAATATTTGGAGTTCCTATTTTGCAAACTGTAAAATAGTCCGGAAGAACTGAAGTATAACGGATTAAATGAAAAGGGAGATAAGAATGGAATGCAAACGGAAAACATAGTTTTTTTCACGATGTAGAAACTGTGAGGTACGATGTAATGCTGGACTCTCGCTGGGAAAGCACCATGTTCCCAGCTTTAATTCTGATATGATTTTCTGCGTTATGATTGGCCGAGAAAAGGTTAAAAGAAAATTTGTCCGATAGGGCTTGGGTTTGCTATTCTTTGGAACACTGTTGTTTATGTTTTAAAGCGATTTTGTCCCGGAGAAACAACAGCTCAAGAATAAAAACAAATTTCGCGAACGCCAGTGGACATTTCTTTTACATTTATTCTTTGCTAGGGACGCTCGTGCCTTTGAACATTGTATCTTTCTGATCCCAATTGCTCAAAAGGTAGATAACACTATCCACCGGACAAATCTCTATCCCAGCCTCCTCCTCAGGCGCTTCGTTTTTCAGACGGCAGAGTCGCGTACTTCCGAGAGGAACGTCTGACTAAAAGAGTCGCTAATGCCGCCAAATGACGTCACTACCTATATACTCCTTTGCTTTAATTCATGCAACAAGTAAAAAACAATTTTCAACTGGTAAAGAAATAAATATCGTCCGGAAAGGTCTTAATGGTACAGAATTGTTTTACTGTTAAATCGTAATTCATGTTGAAGTACATGAAAGACAGCAAGAAAGCAAGAAATAAAAACTAACAGATTCATTACAGTGGGCAGTAGAAATGACAAAAAATTTGAAAATTTAATAGCTCGACACATGCTAATTGTTATAAATTTCACAAAAATCGACCACTGATGCTTCGCATAAACCAAATCACTGCCGAAACCTCAAGGCAGCTCTAAATAAAAACCTACCATCGTTCCCCATTGATTCTTCATTCGTAGTTCAATTTAACAATTAAATCATAGTTTCGGAGACAAGGGCTATATTGCTGTTTAAGGCTAGTGCAGCGAACATTTAGAACTTTGTCGAAATTCGTAGCGCACGTGGAACGTGCGTGGATCGCGCACTAAGGCAGAAACACGAGTTGATCTTGGTGTTTCAAGTAGCATGATTGGTTCGCTATCTCGGACTATGACGTTATATTCACCAGGTTAGGCGGTGAATATAACGTAAAACAAAATCGCTGTCGTGAACTGGGTGTTTTGCCGCAAAGTTTTAGAGTGAAGACTTTTTGAACAAACTAGAAAATCCTTGTGCTGATGATTTTGGAGATTAGAACAGACTTCAAAGTGTTTAAACATCATGACTTATTGTGAAGTGATTTACTGTAGCCAAATTAGTGTTTGAAGCAATGTTTACAACTACGCAGCTGACAAGAAGGGAGAACGAGGAATTTTCTCCCTAGGAGAATTTTGCCCAGAAGTCAAAGTTAATTTAGATAGAAAAATAAATGAAACAAATATCTTCGAAAATTGTACGTGGCAGTAAATAAACAAGGTAAAGAAAATTGCAGAAAAACAACGCTCACCTCCATCGGAGCAGTGGCCATTGTCAGTGCTGGCAAGAAGCGACAAAACCTTTTTCATTGGTAAGTTGACAGAAGCAAATAAAGCTCTATATTTCTTCTCAGATGGGGCAGTAATTTAAACGTTTGACGATTCATTTTAAACCGTTGATACTATATCTTACAAAAGGATTGAAACCATGATTTGCCATGTTTGAAACTACTGTAAAGGTAGTAAAGGTCTTGCGCATCTACTGTTTACGGCTATAGTTCACGCATAACCAGTCAATCAAACTAATCGTTTTTTAATGGTTTCCTTTCTGTTTCTTTTTTGAGATCACTTTGTGTATATATTCTAAAACGATTGTTCTTTTCAATCTGGTCAACTACTCATCTCGATTTCAAAGAATACAATCATGCAATTGTTAAAATATCTCTTGGTGTCCCATCAAGCTAGCTTGGGCCGTTGTTTTTGCGCCAGTTTTGGTTATCAATAAATCTTTTCGCGATGATTTTCGACAGCAGAAGTTTTTTACAGAGAAAATTGAAACAATGTAGACCATCAGTTTCAAAATGAGAGCAAAAATTGAGATATAAGGACATTTTCAGTGCCTCTCACTTAGAAGACGGGTTTGCTTCGACTGCCGGCGGCTATGCGTGTCCAAAGTGCGTTTCAGTTCAGCTTTTTACCGTCCAAGCCTTGCTTTCTTCTAAAAAATTGACCCTGCAATTCATGTAAACCCGAGGCACCCACAGTTAAGGGCCTGTTGACACGGAGGTGAGGAGACCCCAGATAGGTGAGGTGACCCGCTTAGGTGAGATATCCCGCCTGTGCATAAAATCTCTTATTTTCATTTGATCACGTTTACATGATAGGTAGGGTGACCCGCTAAGGCGGGTTGCCAGCTATGCCAGACCCTGTAACCCTCTCTGCTGGATCACAATTTGCTATGTAAACGTATTAAGCTGGGGTAACCCGCCTAGCCGGCGTCGGATTTGTGTTACCGTCAAATTGGCGCCATATTCAAATCACAACTATATCGCGTCATTTAAAGTGAGGAGAGAATGCCACAGCACTGAAAGTTAGCAGCAACAACTAGAAGTAAAGAAATAAAAGTAAAGTAAAACTTTATTAAATCTTCCAATCAGGGCTTTTCAGACCCAACGTACATAAGCATATAAATAATTCATAAGGTAAGTTTGAAATATTGAATAAAATGTCTAAACGTTAAAACTATAATAATAGATAAGAACATCAATAGTTAACTCTCCTAGCTGGCAAGAAATGATTCAAAAAAGGAATTCTCGAAGTTTCTTTTTGAAAGCACGCAGCTATCTGCAGCAGCGATCGCACGTGGCAATGAGGTTCAGAGTTTAATCGCTCTGTATAGTAAAGTTCGTTGACCTGCGGCCGATTGATAAGGTGGAATATTAACCCTCGGACGTACACGCAAATTCATACCCCCACGTGGTACAACCGCTCCACGGAGTCTTTGATATGTTGCAGGATTTCGAAACGATTTTACCTTTAGTAGCAAGCCTTTAATATTCTTAGCAAGATGAGGTATATTTTATTGTTAGTGGCGCTGCTGGAGGCCTGTGACGTCACCAACAGCGGTCGTCATCTTTGCCGCCATCATGGATTTTACCAAGAATTAGAAATCAGGTTAAAACCGCAAGAAATAGTAATTTTTTGTGCTGTACATGGAAAATAACACATAAATAAGCACTTTGCATGATTTTAGCCACAAAATTTACTTTTACTGTTGAAAGAAGTTGAAAAAACATGTATTTTAACCCAAACATGGCTTAACCACCTGATACTTATGACGTCATATCTCGTAACCATAGCAACTGACCATCACTGAACTTGTCTCAAAAAGTGCGCAAGGGATGAACGGACAGCTACTGAGAACGGCAGATGCTTATGTTTTATCCACCCCCTTTCCCCCACCCCTTGTATTTCTTGTGTTGCGATCATGAACAGTATCTTGTCAATCAAGTAACTAGGTGCTATCCCTTTCACTCACTTAAACGTGAGAACGCCTACCGTATACATCAAATAATACCTCACAGGGAGCCAGCGTAACTTCTGAAGAACCGGCGTTATATGATCAAATTTGTATATTAGTGATTGTATTAGTGATTATTTTGCAGCGAAATTCTGGACTTTTTGCAGCCGTGAGAATGAGAGTAGAAGAGGATTAACCACAAAACACTTGCCATTTGTTTTGTTTACACCACTGCATTAACGATGTCATGCAGAAAGAGGCAAATAGGCATTACTTAGCCATGCAAATTAGGTTTTCATATTTTGCACCCTTGCAGGGCAACATTCTACTTCAATTTGACAATGCAATGGAGTTAGTTCAGGTAAACTGGCAACTGTAAAGATGTTTTATGCTTCATTCTTTCGTCAGACCAGATCCCTTGATTGTAGTGAGCGCGTAAAATTTATTCCTTTTTAGCTTTATATCAATTTAATTCTCCTTTTTTTTTTCATTTTTTTTGACAACGTTACTGCATTTAGATGTACGTGGTTAGCGACCATTAATTGAAAAACCTTGCATGGAAAGTGCTCTCCGGGATAGCGGGGATGTAAAATTGCATGTAACTTAACGGGTTATTTTTTGGCCCAACCTGACCGGGTTACCTCATCTATCTGGGGTCCACCATCTCCATGAAAACAGGCCCTCAGACACCCCCATCGGTAGTAGGTAACTCGAGAGGGAGGCTGAAATTCAGGCTACGATCACGAGGTAATAGCACAAAATATGTTTTTTAGCGCAATCTTTCATAGCAAATACTCGATAAATATTTTGCTCCTTGAAATAGTGGAAACACGATGGTGGTTTCGTTGCAAATACGTTCTATCTTTCATATTGCTCCTCTTAACTTTTAAATGACATAATATGTTTCAGTAAGCATGCCAAAGTAGGTGATTAGAGACGCGGTATTCGGATCTTAAATCAAGTTCATGGACTAGTTGGCCCTTTGTGCAATTGACAATTGGTCGAGAAAATAAATTTCCATTTTACGGTTCACGATTTTATGTCCGTCTGTATCTTTTCGGTGGAAGTTAGATCTAGAATATTATAAGCTCTAGCATCCATAAAAGAGGCATATTAATCCAGAACAGTCTGCTTCACTAGGCAAGCAAGTCACGATACTATACCTAGTTCAGTTTTTCACAGTTTATTTTTCCTTTTTCCAAATGAATCGGAAATTGATTAATGCCAAAGTCCAAGTTACGTATGATGATAATAGTTTCATTTTAAGACATACGTGATAGATCGTGCTGATGTCTTTTGTGCTTTTGTGATAAAGCTAGTACCTGCAAGTTAAATGTATGAGAAACACATCGAAGTGCTTTTCAATTCAGAATCCTTGACTGGTTTATCTCACCTCTTTTTGGCTTCTAATGCAGAAATAAGCCTCTGACAAAGCGAGTCTACCGATCAC